GTAAAATGAATATTGTTCTTGTAAAATGGATATTGTTCTTGTAAAATTAATATTGTTCTTGTAAAATGGATATTGTTCTTGCGTTTTTAATTCACTGGGTCATACTATAAAGTTCTGTTTCATTTTACTTCGAAAAAACATTTTATTTTATTTTTGCGCTTATAACGATCCTGAGCTTAGTGTATTTATTGATTTTGTAATAGATAATTCGATGTTTAAAGCTAGTTTTACCATTCCATTGCTTTTGGTTTTATTCTCCTAAAGATGCGACTGAAACCTTTTAAAGGACATAAAGGTTTCTCAAAATGCCTTTTGTGAATGAGAATAGTACATATTTCATTCTTGATATATATACATCACTATTGTACTGTTATTACTTCAATAATTACAATAAAAATGATATTATAGATTATTTTAACACAGATCTGAGTGTTTTTATTAGAACAGAGATAGCAGATTATATAGTAAAACATCTGATTCGTTACGAACATTCATATGATTTCGTTTTCACAACTGTTTTTAATTTTCAGAAATCTACAAAGACCAATCGTTAGAGTCAGAGTAAACACGAAAATTAAGAACTGTGCCGTTATAACCAAAGACTGGTCATTATAAAATCAGATTAAAGTAAAGACCAAGTTATTAACTGTGCCTATATAACTAAAGACTGGTTGCTAAAGTCAGATTAAAGTAAAAACTAAAGCTTAGAACCATACTGTTATAACTAAAGACCAATCGTTATACTCAGAGTAAAGTAAAACTAAAGCTTAGATCCGTACTGCTATAGCTAAAGACCATTCGTTATAGTCAGAGTAAAGTACAAACTAAAGCTTAGAACTGTACTTCTATAACTAAAGACCAGTTGTTAGAGTCAGAGTAAAGTAGAAACCAAGCTTAGAATCGTACTTCTGTAACTAAAGACTAATCGTTAGTCAGAGTAATGTAGAAACCAAAGCTTAGAACCCTACTGCTCTAAGTAAAGACCAATTGTTAGAATCGGAGTAAAGTAAAAATCGAAGCTTAGAACCGTACTGCTATAATTAAAAACCAGTAAATCTGATTAGCTGGTTTATGTCTTCACAGATTTCAAGAGATTTTTTAAGCAAAATAAAATTTACCAAGCAGTGTTTCAGCTAAGCCTAACGTTATGTTTATGTATTAGGCCTAATGCTTAAATTAGACTACAAATAGACATACTACAATATTACTAACGATATAGTGTCGGAGTTTTAAAACTTTTATGTTGTGAATAAATGTTAATTAATTTATATTCTTTTGTCATTTAAAGACATATGTTACCTAATTGGCCTTAAAACATAAAGAAAAACAAACGTTTATTACTACCAGACATATTTTGTCCTTTGTACAGTCGAAAGAGTTGAACATTTGTGTCGGAATGTCCGTACTATAATTTCTACTTCCTAGCCTAGAATACAATGAAAAGACTCAAGAGTGCTATTTAAATCTCTTACAGGGTGCACACGTAATATTCTTCACGATAAAATTTATCTTTTCTGCGTAGTTTTTACTAAAAATGTGGTGATTAAAGAATAATTTTGAGGCTGATGAAATAAGTGATGAGTAGGTGCAGTTTGGAGTTACAGAAAAATTCTTAGTTTTAGTTAAATTATATAATTTTCGTTAGTCATTCAACAATGGTTTCCCGTCATTTTTGACAGGCTTTTATACTACTATATATATATAAGAACAGTAATACAAATCTTACAGAGATATAGTAAAAATCGTAATATAATATATTATATATCATACATAAACATATATATATATAAGTAAGTATTAAAGCATCTTATTTGTCCTTTGAAGTGTGGGTGTTTTAGTGTATTGTACTTTCTACGTTGTATAAACTAACTTAGACATTCCTGGTGTTATGAGTTCGTTTATTCTCGTTATTTCTATAAATAGAATAGTAAAAACAAAACAAAAAAAAACGAAGTATTGGAATTACATTATGCTATCCATATTATTAAAATTCTTGATTGTGATTTTCAAAGTAGGTATATTTTCCTCAAAAAAAAGAGAAATCGTATACGATTCCATGACGTATTGAAGCACGTGCATTCTATATATTAAAATGAAGCTTCCAATCTAAAAACACCAATCCGTGAACAGATAAACATATATCACAAGTTTGGTATATTTTTCTCATGTGAAATTAGCTATTTACCCGAATAAGAAAAATACATCGCAAATCAATTATTTGTGAGCCAACTAATAGATTAATAAGGGAAAACGTTTTCAAGGTAAGTTATCTCACGTGATGGTAATGAGAAGCTTTATGGGTGGTTTGAAAGTTAAGTACAGTTAACGAGTTTTATACTTTTTTTTTAACATGACTTCCCTTACACGTGAAAACCGTTAATAGTTAATGTTGCATATAAAACATTTGATTTTCTTATATTTACCGATACACACAACTGGCCTGTATGAAACCTAGGCAACTTTTTTATACATCGAATAACGAGTGTGTATCAAATGATTCTTACAAATATAAAAATTAGATTTCTGTTTTTATGTTTATAAATCCCTAAGCACGATTATTAGCATCAGACTTTTCTAAATCAACACATCTACAAGAATACACGTTTATGCTGGTTAATCCTGACATATCTAAAACAAAACACGTAATTTAGTAGAACTACCTTCTTGTTATTAATTTATTAAGTAGAACCACCTTTTTATATTTAATTTATTAAGTAGAACCACCTTTTTATATTTAATTTATTAAGTAGAACCACCTTTTTATATTTAATTTATTAAGTAGAACCACCTTTTTATATTTAATTTATTAAATAGAACCATATTTTTATATTTAATTTATTAAGTAGAACCACCTTTTTATATTTAATTTATTAAGTAGAACCACCTTTTTATATTTAATTTATTAAGTAGAACCCCTTCTTGTTATTAATTTATTAAGTAGAACCACCTTCTTGTTAATTTGTTAAGTAGAACCACCTTTTTGTTATCAACATATTCCCTAGGAGAAGTACAAATGACATACCATCAAATCTAGTAACTGGTATTTTATGTCATTACAATTTACAGCTTTTACAGTTTGTTATAGTTTTTAGAACAGATACGACGTTTCGATCACTAGTGCGATCATTGTCAAGTACACATGTTTCTACAGTAAAGAACGTTTTAGTATTTAAATCAACATTCAACAATCTAACAATGTATATAAATTCTGAAACTGAAAGTAGTTACTTATTCATATAGATATCAAACTGGTAAGTTGTTTCAGATCTATTTCTTAGTAAATGTAACTGGTGTTTTGTTTCAGATCTAATCCCTAGGAAAATATCTGTCAATTGATGTTTTTTTCTATCTTATAGTAAAAATATCTGTCAATTGATGTCTTTTCTATCTTATAGTAAAAATATTTGTCAATTGATGTATTTTCTATCTTATAGTAAAAATAGTTGATAATTGATGTATTTTCTATCTAATAGTAAAAATAGTTGATAATTGATATATTTTCTATCTTATAGTAAAAATAGTTGTTAATTGATGTATTTTCTATCTTATAGTAAAAATAGTTGATAATTGATGTATTTTCTATCTTATAGTAAAAATAGTTGATAATTGATGTATTTTCTATCTAATAGTAAAAATAGTTGATAATTGATATATTTTCTATCTTATAGTAAAAATAGTTGTTAATTGATGTATTTTCTATCTTATAGTAAAAATAGTTGATAATTGATGTGTTTTCTATCTTATAGTAAAAATAGTTGTTAATTGATGTATTTTCTATCTTATAGTAAAAATAGTTGATAATTGATGTGTTTTCTATCTTATAGTAAAACTAGTTGATAATTGATGTGTTTTCTATCTTATAGTAAAAATAGTTGACCGTTGTTGCCTCATCTTTTCCTCTAATTTTCGATTTTTGAAAACGTTCTGAATAATATTTGGGGACTTGTTGTTATGCGCTTTTGTTTCTTTGTCGGTAAATATATGTCAGAATTTGTTATAAAACATTGAGTTTATCAGAAAGCTTACTTTTTATCATGCGTTGTTAACAATTAGCCCCCTGAGATCATAAATATGATTATGTATCTTAGGGAAAGGTCATATGTTAAATTAATAAATATATTTCTAAGAATACGCGTTTATTTTCGTGAAGGAAGATAATTTTTTGTTATGAAACATTACATATTTTAAATAGAAACATTTCAACATGTAATATAACCACGTCTTTTGGTAATAAATTTGTATTTTTGAAAAAAACAAAATTTAGTAACCATCTAAAAATATAATTTCCACATTTTGAATTATATAATAAACCTAAAACTGTATGATTGGGTTCTGATTCATAGAACATTCTGGATAATATAAATATGTATGCACTATATGGTTTGTGTGTTGAGTATGGCAGTTCTATATCAAGTCATTCCAAAAAAAAAATATTCATAGTTTGTATACGATTCCAGCTCGAGTAAACTTTATAACAGAAAAGTATTAGGGTCCGATTTCACTTAATGCTTGAAATTGTTACATACATTTACTATTTTTTTCCTTGCGTTCTATTTTATATGTTACCAAGAGAAACCATGGAAGAGGAGGCTCTTTAAAATATATATTCAATCGATGGGCTTTTTCTTGCGAACTTCATATTTTTTACGTTTTTAATATACACGGTGAGAAAATAAAAATAAAATGACTACTGTAATAAAGGTTCTCTGATTTTCAATAAGAAATGGTGTACTGGTGTTATACAGCTGTTCGTATTTTCCAGAAATATATATATATATATATTAAACTCGTATATCAGCCAGTCTGCTATCAGTTGCTTCGTATCTAATTTCAACCTGCGTGTGCTCGCCTTGATAAACGTCCTACAGGCGTGCTATGTTTATAGACTTCTTTCTTGGTATTTTATATATTTGTGAAAACAAGATTTCTACTGAAATATTCTCACGAGGAGCCTCGGCGAACAAGAACAAAATAAAGCAAAAACAACACAGATTGCTTACCGTAACACGTTGGCTAGGGTGTGACGACGACTTCTCTGTGCTTTTAGTTGGCCCTCCTGCAGCTGTCGAAGAAAACTAGGTCTGTTTGCTGGTCCAGACATATCTAAACGAGACAGTAACCCTTGTGGTAGCTCAAAACTATCGGCAAGTTGAAGACTTGTTTCCCGCTGCCGAGTAAGGTTATCTGCACTCGCTCACCAAAGAGGACAAAAATCAATACCTTAAGAGTTCGGGGAAAAAAAAACACTAATTTTATATCAGGTACTGGCCAACTTCTGCAGGAAAGCGGCTCGGATTTTGTCCTGTCTAACTCAGCAGAAGCTAAAGTGAAGTCGACATAACCTCATTAACACCCTCTTCGCTTCTTTGTGTTTGAAGTCTGTTAATGATAAGTTGTTTGTAAAGCAAAAGCTATTTTTAGTTCTGTTAAAACGGCTACTTGATTACACAACGTTTTTTTTTTAACTTACAGCAGACTCGTTAGAGGAAACGTTTGAAATTTTGTCTTCAGAAACAAACAGAAATGGAGTTAATAATTCTCGTATATTATATGACCTTTAATGAAGTATATTTTTATGATTTGGAAACTAGAGACTCGGTAGCAACTCTTGAAAATTGCAGAGTAATTACTTTTGAAAAGCTGAAATTGGCGACACTGAAACCTAAAACATATGTTACAGCAACTGGAAAAATATATTACAGCAACATTTTCTACTGTCAGTCTCGGGAAGAAAGCTCTTCTGTCTCGTGCCAACCTCAGTGTTTCTCTGAGTGTAGTGGTGTCCAAAGCACGCCTGATAAAACTGGGAAAGGCACAGGTACATGTGAGCAACCAATCAGAGAGCTCTCTACTTGCTTGCGATGTAAGGTACTCTTTACTTCATCTTCGCTATAGGCTAAGATGTCTTACCTTTTTAATTATTTTGTACCGACTTATGACGGTAACTTTTAGAATTACTCATTGCTCATTAGTGCTCATAAAACGGGGAAGGCACAGGTACATGTGAGCAACCAATCAGAGAGCTCTCTACTTGCTTACGATGTAAGGTACTCTTTACTTCATCTTCGCTATAGGCTAAGGTGTCTTACCTTTAGAATTACTCATTGCTCATTAGTTGTTTTATACACTTGGGCAAAATTCCATCTCATGCATTTGGTATATTTTATTTGACTGTTATTATTAAAATATATGTATGATGGAAGAATTCGCCTGATTTTATTACCTGGACCGTCCCTAGATGGGACAGCGGTAGGTCTACCGACGTACAACTCTAAGATCTGCGGTTCGATTCCCCGCGGTGGGTACAGAAGATAACCCAATGTCGCTTTGCTATAAAACAAACAATTACCTGAGGCTGGTAAGTTTGATCTTTCCAGTGAATTATTTCCCATAATTTGAAATTTTGATTTTTGAAGAGTGTTAAGCACAACATTCATATTAAACGGACGATTTTAAAATAGAAATAGACAAGGGTACGAAGTTTTCGAAAAGAGGGTGGGTGTAATAAAAGGGAGTGCCCTTCTTATGGACAAAAGTTAAAGAAAATAAGCACAGGTAGAAAGAGTCCAATTGATTTTAAGACAAATAACTTATTTTATTAATGGAATAGTTTTAATGTAAAGAACAAAATCTGGAGAACGATGAAAGTTAAACCTCCATTTGGAAAGAAACCGCTGACGGATACAAAAAAAAATCCTCCAACAGGTCCACTTTTGACCTAAAAGCTGGTTCATCTCTCATCTGAAACCTACTGTTGCTTCTTGTCCGACGTGGACGCCCCCCGGTGACTCAACTGCAAGTCTGCAAGCTTATAACGCTAAAACACGGGTTTCGATACTCGCTGTGAATACAACACAGATAGCCCATTGTGTTGCTTTGTGTTTAATAACAAACAGAACGATATGGGCAGTGTGCTAATATTATTCTAGATTTATAGGGGGCTCTGCTGTGTTTCTAAAGAAAAACTTCTTTTATTTCCACGCCTGCTATCTTATTATTCATTATTACACAACACATTACAAAAAATTAGGTGGTTTTTCGTGTGTTTTTTTTTTCTTTATTGAACTTTGTCATGCGAGCTAGTCATCATCATATAAATCCATTCGGTTAAAAGTATTGCGTGTGACATTTCATCAAATCATTTCATAATGACATTTTGCTAAACACGATCACCAATAAGATGTTAACTTATCGATAATGGCTCATCTGTCATTCAATAAAAAGTTTTAACAGAAATTTGTCTTCCAATAGAGGTACCCGACATTTAATGCCTAATTTATTCTTTAATACACTGTTTGATACCTGATCTAGTTCTCGGTAAAACTATCTATTATATGTAGAAAAACAATAACTTATAGCTAATGTCTAATATATGTAGAAAAACAATAACTTATAGCTAATGTCTAATATATGTAGAAAAACAATAACTTACAGTTAATGTCTAATATATGTAGAAAAACAATAACGTATAGTTAATGTCTAATATATGTAGAAAAACAATAACTTATAGTTAATATTTAATTTATGTGTTAGTAAATATAGCTGCTAGTTAATGTCTGATATATCTATCAGTAAATGCAGCTGCTAGTTAATGTCTGATATATCTATCAGT